AAAAGTAGGTAATAACAATGTAATGAAAGGTGGTGCTGTTGGTAGAAATATTGGTGGAATTAAAAATGATCGGACTAATAATAACTTTTGTGTGGTTAAAATAAAATTGGGTTTACTAAATATAAGATCGATTGGCTCAAAGTACAACATCATTTATGATTTGATCAGTGATGGTTTGGATATTTTTGTTGTTACTGAATCATGGCATGGTTCATCAGAAAATCCCTCCATTGCGTTATCTACTCCTCCTGGTTACCGCTTTGTAGATTGTGTAAGAGATAACGACCCTCTCCATGGTGGATTGATAATATTTTTTCGTCTATGTTTAAAATGTAAAACAATAGCCTTACCTAAAGTTACCACATTTGAAGTTTTGGCGGTCAGGTTCACAGTTAATAGTCAGGAGTTTATTTTGCTCGCTATTTACAGACCGGGTTCTGCACAGCTGTCCGGATTATTTTTTAAAGAACTGATTTCTATTCTGGAAAACATTACAGTACTCAGTTCTCGAATTATTTTAACCGGGGACTTCAATGTGCACGTTGAAAAGACGAATGATCCTTATGCTGCTAATTTAAATGAAATCTTCGATAATTTTCAACTCATCAATCGTGTAAAAGCACCAACACATTTACGTGGTGGTACACTAGACTTGATAGTAACCTCCGAGGATTTTCCAGTTCATGATTGTTTAGTCCATCCAAGTGGAATTTATTCTGATCATAGTTTTATTTGGGCTGAACTGTCGATGACTCGAGGATATTTGGTTGGAATTAAAAAAGTTTCTAAAATGTGGAATCAGATGAATGTTGATGACTTCATCAAACTCGTGCTTGAATCTCCACTCTCCAAATCATGTCAAAGCAATGAGGTAGACAAGGAATTGCATTTATTTAATAACGAGTTAAAATCTATTGCTGATAAAGTTGTCCCTATTCGTGCAGTGACCACCAATAACGTTCGTATAGCTCCGTGGTTTGATAATGATTGCAGATTAGCCAAGCGTTTGTGCAGAAAAATGGAAAGAAGATACAAAAAAGTTCACAGTTGATTCATTAAGATGAATGGAAGACTGCTTTGAAGAATAAATCGGAACTTTTCTCTAAAAAACGTCGTCAGTATTGGACAAAAATTGTTGATGACAATAAGATGAAACCGAAAAATCTTTGGCGGGTTGTGAACAGCATTCTCTGTAGGGGTCGTAACGATAAATCCTGCTCGGATATGGATGAACTAACACCTGATCGATTTATGTGCTATTTCAATGAAAAGTTAAGCAAGCTGAAAGATAGTGTCAACAACGATGCTCAACCGAGCCTGGCAGAATTCCAATCAGGTGTCAATAATAGTTTGTTCTTAACGTTTTCTATGGTTTCTAAAGAGGAGGTAATACAGTTAGTTCAAAACTCACCTACAAAGTCGTGTCAACAAGATGTAATACCTACCCACGTATTAAAGAAGTTTATAAAACTGTTCGCACCATTTTTGGCAGACCTGATAAACAGCAGTTTAAATGTGGGACAGTTTCCTTCTGGCTGCAAGCATGCTATCATAACTCCGCTGCTGAAGAAACATAATCTAGACGAAAATGATGTTGGGAACTACAGACCAATTTCTAATCTGTCTTTCCTATCCAAAATTATCGAACGTGTGGTTGCCAGGCAAACACTCAGTTACTTGAACAATAACAATTTAATGCCAAAATATCAATCTGGATTCCGTCAGTACCATTCGACTGAAACTGCTCTTTTGCAAGTTTTCTCAGAAGTGTACGGGGCAATTGATGAACAAAATGTGGCAATGCTAGTCTTTCTTGATATGTCATCCGCATTTGATTGCGTAGATCACAAAGTACTTTTAACAAGACTACGTTGCAGTTTTGGAATCTCTGGTGCTGTTCTGAGGTGGTTTGAGTCGTATCTGGTAGGTAGATCACAACAGGTATCATTCGGTGGTAAATTGTCTGAGGGTTAATGTCATGCTGTCTGGTGTGCCACAAGGTTCGGTTCTAGGTCCTATTCTATTCCTGATCTATACATCTGAAGTACTAAAGATAATAGAATCATTTGGTTTTTCAGGTCATGCTTTTGCGGACGACTTGCAAATTATTGTTACGAGCAGGCCAGATTCTTTTAAATCAGAATTGGACAAACTGGTTAAATGTTTGTCTGGGGTCAATAAGTGGATGCAAAACAATGGTTTAAAACTAAACCAAAACAAAACTGTTTTTTTACCAATTGGAACATGGCAGCAACTTTCAAGAATAGATATAAATTCACTAACTGTTAAGGATGAGGTCATCCCATTTTGTCAGACAGCAGCTAATCTGGGCTTCATGATTGATTCAGGTTTGTCAATGAAACAACACATTAAGAAGCTCTCAGCCGAATGTTCAAATCAGGAAAATCAATCAAATTCGACGATCCTTAGATACATCCACGTTGCAGACGTTGGTTCATGCATTTGTGCACTCACGCGTCGACTATTGCAACAGTTTGTTTTATGACTTACCTGATCGATCAATGGCTGTACTTCAATCAATACAGAATCGAGCCGCAAAAGTTGTCGTTGGAGCTCTAAAATACGATCATGTGTCTCCAATATTGAAGGAACTTTATTGGCTAACCGTCGACAAAAGAGTGTTGTTCAAAATTTCAACACTTGTCTACAAGTCTATCAACGGTCTAGCTCCATCTTATTTGTCTGACAGGTTCAAAAAGAAATCTTCAAAAGCGTCTGGACCACACTTGAGATCCGATGTTTCAAACCTGCTGTTGATCCCAACAACGAGTCTCCGTATAGGCTCTCGTAACATTGCTGTTTCTGGACCAGCTGTTTGGAACAACCTGCCTGCTGCTCTCAGAAATCCGGACCTAAACCTACGTGATTTCAAGAAGAAACTGAAAACTCATTTATTTTCATTGTGATGCATTATTGATCAATTCTTTCTGTTTATTCGACATGTTCTAAATATTATTTCGTATTTTCGTTATATTGAATCGGTTACTTTTCTGTTTATGACCAAATTTTAATTTTATTTTTGTGCGATGTATTATGATTTCTCGTTTGTTATTTCAATTATGTTGTTAAGTTCAGTTTTTGTTAGATAGCGCTTTTGAGATTCGTTTAATTAGCGCTTCATAAATGTTTCAATAATAATATATATATATATATAATGTCTGTGTGTAAGAAACAGCAATTAGAAAACTATAAAAGATAAGGTAGACAAGAAAAAAAAAATTAAAAATTTGATCTATACAACAAAACAACGTTTGGTACCATAGGTATATAATACGTTTAAAGATGGTCAATACCGATGTTCAATCGAAATATCTCCTTGTCTAAATCGAAAATTAACAACTTCATTCTCCATGTACCTACGTTATCTGCTGCTTAATTTTTAATTTCCAACCGTGATAATTCTATTTTATTTGGATGTTAACAATTTGTAGCTCTTTTTTTCTCAATTTAATAAGTTAAATAAGCTAAAGTTAAACACTTCATATGATTTGAAATTTCTTTTAACCTTACAAGTCATGTGGCCCCCCCGTTCTTAAATTTTAAATTAGGAAATAAAAAAATGTTTAGGCACATAAATGAATCAAATAAAAAAGAAACACTTATAACATGTGCAAAAGAAGTAGTTGTGATTGCTTAAAGCTGCAGACAACCTAATTGTAAAATAGAATGAGCAAGAAAAGATAAGATGTCCGACAAGGCGCGGTACTACGGCCTGTTCATCAGTTCAATCAGGCGATCGCAAGATTTGTTCATTTTCATTCATTTCTTTTTCTCCTACGTTCCTTCTCTCTATCATTTAGTTCCCCAAGCAATGAATCATTCAATCGATCACTTAAGTTATTTGTCGTGAGGTTGTTTATCTCTTAGTCTCTCGAAAAATTTCACTCATGTTTGTAAGTGGAAAATAATAGGAAGTTTTCCTCCTGTTACTACATAGATAAATTAACTCAAGTTGGAGACGATGTTAAATGTGCGGCTGTTTCAATGATTGCGTACAACTTCTTCAAATATTTCCATGAGTAAATTAACTAAAAACCATTTATCACAATATTTAAACTAAAATTTTTAAAATTTTGTTTTAAACGTTTTTATAACTTAATAGTTACGTAAAATGACCTGTCATTTTTTTAAATTTTCATTGACGTTGATTCTGACATACGATAACTCGTTGGGGCCCAACGCAGGCCATTCTGATTCTATTCTTATAATTTCATTTCCAGCAACAATTCAAAGTGACATAAGTGTATTAGTGTATTATAATTTCATTTCAATTTTATCAAAGTGTATTATAATTTCATTTCCAGCAACAATTCAAAGTGACATCCAGCATATCAAAATAAATATTTGCCATTTTAAAATAATCAGCAGTAAGATTTAGCAACGTGTGGTTTTTAATTGTTTAGCCAGTTATTTTACAAAATAAATTTTAATGATAATTCTAGAAATGTCATCCAGCTTATTACTGAAGCAAGCATTGCTTCATTTAAAAAATCATTTGTATCTAATTTGCCCAGCCGTCCATCACAGTGCACTGGGGGAGATTAGCATTGTGAAGTGAAGTGGATGACGGCACGTTCTATCTAATAGTGCATTCATCAGTTCATTCAAGGGAAAGTGCATAGGTAGGCTTGTATGTATGTATGTATGTATGTGTTAGGTATGTATGTAAGTGTATATATATAATAATGTAATGTACGTATGTATGTAAGTGTACATATATAATAATGTAATGCACGTATGTATGTAAGTGTACATATATAATAATGTAATGTACGTATGTATGTAAGTGTACATATATAATAATGTAATGTACGTTTGTATGTATTTACCAGCATTCCATCATAAAAATAATTTCAAGGACCAGAGAGCGCGCGCGCAAGATCACCCATGCTCAATTGATGCCCATGGGCACGGGCTGTGACGTCATATAAAATGCAAACACGGAAGAAGATCATGCATCGATTCCTTTTTTATTATTCCATTTATTTTATTTACTACGCTATGTTACATACAATGCACGCAACACATCGTCAAATAAACATTGAATTGAAATATTGAATAGAAATGAAACACGCATGAACATGCATTTGTTAGGCACTATAAATACATTTGTTTAAATACCTGGGAATGGAACAATGGTAACCCATATTGCGTTTTGTAAGCGAAAATTATTTTGATAATGTTCCCATGTAAGAAATGATATAGATTTTGTGAGATCGTCCTATGAAGTATTTAAAAATGGTTGCCAACAAATGAAACTGACCGAGGTGTTGATGTGAAAGGTTGCAGAAAGGTTTTGAGTGCATCGGAAGTGCCTCATCAGCCGGTTCAGTTCTCTCCTCACCCCCACCCCCACCCTTCATTCTGGTGAGGAAACGTTTGAAGGCCGTTGAAATGTTCATCCATACATTTTTCATTACGAATTTGATTCTGTCTGCCAACGTTCTGCCATACGTATTATTAATTTTTTTTGTCAGAAAGCATTTATAAGAATTGTTAGTGTGGCTGGTGTTGATGTTGTTGTTGTTTTTATTTTCGTTGTTATTGTTGTCGTCTGTTTTTTGATCGTCATCTGACGTCACGAGGGATTCGGCTCTCAGAAGGTCCTCTGTTGAATGTTCATCAACGAAAATACTGATGATGGAAAGATTGATGGATGAACGAACGGGTATATAAATGAATGGTTTGACGCATAGACAGCAGTCTTCCCAAAACATAGTTTAAAAAATTAAATAAAAAAGATTCCAAATAATTAAAGCAAAGTCCGAATTTGAAATTGCATGATTTCAATATATAAATCATCATCGTGTAAGTTGATTTACATAGGGAAATATTTTTTTTGGAATTCTGAAAATATGTTTATTTTGAATTTTAATAAACTAAACGTTTCTCAAAAAACTTTAGTGAAAAAAATCGAAAAAACGAACTACAAACATATTAACGCCAAAGATTCGGTAAAATTTATAGAACATTGTAAAAATTATGGTCTATTAACAACATATATATATTATATATATTTATGTATATTTATGTGTATATATATATATACATAAATATATAAGAGAGAGAGAGAGATTGTGTTACAACATTTCGAGTGTCATAAAATGTTCATTTATTTGAAAGGCAGACATCAATGCAACAAAAAAACAAACCTAAAATTTTCAATTCTTTGTTTTGATCACCATCACCATGAGTACCCGCTTCATCATCATTATTATCATCATCACGAAGACTAGCATGCTTCGCATCTTTGTGATAACTTCTGACGTCCAATTCAAATGTTGGTCGTTCCTTACGGAGAAGGAAGATGAGGAGGACAATGAGGAGTTGAAAGATGGAGAGTCCGATCAACAGATAGATGCATTTCCTGCTTGGCTGCTCGGGTACGTTTTTTTTTTATTTAAAAATCACTTTTAATTAACTTGAAACGTAATGATTGTTCAACACGATAGCCACGAGGTAGCGTATCGAACATTTGAAAATTCATAATAAATTTTTAGTCAAATAATTTTATAAAAGACATACGTCCCTAAGAAGATTTCAATTTTAAATGAATGATCAACCTCAGCAAAGACATAAAAAACTTGTTACTGTTTAGTGAAAGATAAAAATATGTATGATGAAAAAACATTGCGATGCTAATTCCAGGCTCACCACCTCCCAATCGCTGAAAATCAAAAAACATGAAAAAGAAACAAACGCCGGTAAAGAATTGTTCTTTTAATACCTGCTGGATTAGGCTGCATGACATGAACGAACTTTTTTTCATGTTGTCTTTCTTTTCTTTCTTATCAAGATAGCATCCCATCGTAGAAGATGTTTGACAACCCGATTCAAAAAGCATCTTAGGAAAGTAAAAGTTAACTAGACGCTTATAGTGAATAATCAGAAAATAATTTTTTGAATGTTGAAAATTATATTTCGAAAGTTAACGTTTGAAATTTGCTTGAATGTAGCTTGCGGTTTCAATATGTGATTGCAGATGAATTGACTGAACCACGATAAGCTTTGAACCAACTTACATAAACGTAGAATGTTTAACAACGTCGATTCAATGCTTTATATATATATATATATATATATATATATATATATATATATATATATATATATATATATATATATATATATATATGTATAAATTCTACGAAAATTAAAATCTATCAAAGACGTTATTGTAAATCATGACCGCATTATTTATTTAAATTTTCTTATTTCTGAAAAACTAAACCATTGAAAACGTTAAATTCGGATAATTAATTTTATACTTTCAAAATTACTTTCCATTTTATCAAACTTAACAAAAATTGGAAATTTGTTCGAAAAACAAAGATTACACAACGTTTTATGATAATGCTTGCTCAAAGGTTTTATTTGTGAACACTTTTGCAAATTGTTCGCTAAAAAAGTACAAAATGAAAAGACGACAAATGTGAAATAAATCTTTCAACTTCTCTTTTTTACTTTCAAGTTCATTGGGAAGCAGACTGCTTGAAAATAGATTCGTGGCAAAAATAGCAAAGATGAGCGAGGAGCATGCGGGTAATGACGACGACTACAGGAATAAATCAGAAATGTCATTCAAGAAGATCCCGCCATCCATTCCCGTCATCTGGGATTCGAACTTTTTATTTATTGCCTTCTAATTGTTCCTCATACAGTTTGCTATTTAAAATTAGTATTTCAAACGTTAAACGTTGTTCCGAATGTTAAACATAAATCCAAATTTTAATCCAAATCTTAAACAATTGTTAACTGGCTTTCTTCCAACTCGTTGATTTGCAAATTTTCAACGTGATAATAAAAATTGCGTTAAGCAAATAACTGGATGCCACTAACAGCTGGCTACTGAAAATGAGGATGTCATTTTATAAAGCGTCATGGCAAGCGACTGAGGCGCATAAATGTTAAAAATTATTTGTTAACGCGCAGTCGTTATTTTCAAACTATTAACCAACCGATCAGAGCCAGCTAAAATTTTTGTAAGATTTTTTTCATTTCTTAGATAGATATGGCAGTTATCCAACTTTCAGAAACAAATTTTAATTTTCCATATTTAATTACCAAACACTTTTCAATTGTTGCCAGTTGCTCTTTATGCATCAAAGCCTAATTTCTGGTAACGTCTTTTCCCATTAAATCTTTTTGGAATGATTTTTTCAATGGCAATATTTTTACCACACAAATTAAAAAAGCCACCAGTCCAGTCATTTTCATAATTTAAATTGCGGTACGATGCCAAAATTTTTTATTTATTTATTTATAAATATTATTTATTTCCAAGCATCATTATTATTTCAAATATAGATCTTCAATAATTAATTAAAACTTCAAACTTTAAAGCCGGCCAATAAATGAAATGTGATTGTTATTTGAACATTCATGTTTAACTGATGCCAGTGACGCAATGTGTGCTGTTCTGCTGCTCTTCGTTGCCTCAGATGACAAACAAAAAAAACTTTATTTAATGGAAATATAAAATTATAACAAACACACTAAATAATTTTAAGTATACTTACGCTGATGTGTGCTTTTGTGTGTTTATATTTTGCGAATGTGTACATACGTTTTTTGCTTGCGCTTGTTTCCGTGTGTTTCTATGATAATTATGCATTTGAATTTGTATGTAGATGCTTCTACGCGTTTGTACGTACGTGGTTTTGCATGTGTGAGTGTTTGCATGCATGTGTACGTGTTTGCATGCATGTGTACGCGCTTGTACGTGTTGGTGATCCTGCGTGTGTTGCAACGTAGGAGCAGGACGGTCAGAGAGTAAATAAATCTTGATGATACGTCCGATGTAATGTGCCATTTGCTTCTTTAAGTAAGTAAGAGCAAAGGAAATTGTCTTGTCTTTCTCCATATGCACTCTCAGCACATGCGCATGTGCGGTGCACACAAATTCCTCATAGATGCCCAAACACACACACACACAAACACTGGAGTGACAAAAACAGAAAGTGGCAACAACACCAAGGAGGTAAAAAAACTACCAACAAATCTACCATAAGACAAGATGGTTGAGCGAGGAAATAGAAAAGCCCGACATTTCACAGAAGCGATATTTGAAACATAATAACATACACCTATTTACACAGTAAGCCACGGCAAAAGTGTTTTCATATATTCACAAACGCTGTAGCATGCCTCCTTCTCACTTTTTTAAAATAATTTTCAAATGTCAATATAATTTATGAAAATATTTTTTATAGTTTAAAAATTGTTTGATTAAGTGGGCTATCAAATTGAAGTCAACGTAACAAACGTTCTCCTATTGGAACGAGTTTGTGTCTCGTATTAAAAAACATTCGTGATTTTAAATTAATATTTCAATATTTCT